GGCGAGGTCCCGCCGGCAGGGGCGAGGCCCGGGCTTCGCCTTCTAAGGAGACGGCAACCCCGGGGCGGAGCGTGCAGCGGCCCGGAGCCGCCCCGCCTCGGTTTAAGGAGGCCCGAGCCAGTTCCCTGGACGCGGGGAGGAGGAGGCTGCCCTGACCGCAACGGGGTGGCTCGCCCTGGCTGCACGTTCCGGCTGCATTGCTTGCCTGTCTTTTTACTGATCTGCAGATTATTTACACGTTGTGAATTAGTGCGTTCTTGTCTGGCACGAGCATTGGTGTTCTAGATGGATCCCTCCATCTGTGCTGCATTGGAGATTTTGCAGATAACTTCTCCCGCGGTGGTTTGCTTTTGCTTTTAATGAACAAGTGAGGGTTTTTTGGTTTTGTTGTTGTTCGTTTGTTTTGTTGTTGTTGCGGGAGGGGTTGTTTTGTCTGTACATAGTCTGTCTTGCACAGGCTGGTCGTAACTTAAGAGCTCAAGTGACCCTCCCACCTCAGCCTCCTGAGTGCTGGGGCGCAAGCACCACTGAACCCAGCCGAAGTAATGAAGTCAGATTTACCAATCTTTTTTTCATGATTAGTGGTTTTTCATTAGGGTGTTCTCCTCATGGTTGCACTAGGCTGTTCTTTTAGGGTCTTGTGTAAAGGCTCACATTTAGATCTCTGAGGGGTCACTAAGTAATCCTTGTGAATGGTGTGGTACAAATTTTTTCTATGAGTCTTCTAGTAATCCGTCATCGTTTACTAAAAAGCTTCCTCCAGAAGGGTCTGTGTCTGGCCTGTTTCTAATCCACCGGTCTGTTTCTTTATGTTGGAGCCAACCTCACATATTTTGAGCAACAGGATTAACCAGCTTGACCTAATTCACATATGTAACAATTCACCCTGCAGCTGTAGAATGCATATTCTCCTCCTATGCACACAGGATGTTTATCAAAATAGGCCACAGCCTGAGCTCTAGACAACTGTCAGCAGATTTCAGAGGACTGAAATCATACAGTGTGTCTTCTCTGAATTAAAGTAAAACTCAACTCCAGGAAAAACTTCTAGAAGTCTCTTAACTGCTTAGAAGAGAACTATACTTACAAATAACTAATGTCAAATAAATCAAATGGATCAGTTCAAATTCCAGGCCAGTCTGGGCCACACAGTGAGTTCAAGATCTGCCTGTCTCAAAAGCAAACAAAAAAAATGTGTGGGATGCAGCTAAAGCAGTAAATAGAGGAAAATGTATAGCGTTAGAAGAAAGGTTGAAAATTAATGTTCCAAGCTTCACCTCAAAAAGCTAGAAAAAGGGCCAGGGATATAGCTCAGTGTCATAAGCACCTGCCTGGCAAGCACAAGGTTCTGAGTTCGATTCCCGGTACCAAAAAAAAGAAAAGGAAAAAAGCTAGAAAAAGAAGAATAAACCCAAAGATAAAAAGAAATAATAAACAGTAAGGGCAGAAATTGATGAAGTAAATAACAAGATACAAGAGAAAATCAACATAACCAAAAAGTTGTTCGTTTAGAGATTGATGGAATTAATAAACCACTGCAAAGAGTAAGAAAAGAGAAAATACAATTTCCACTCTAAGGAATGAAAAAGAGAACATCACTGGAAATACTGCAAATATTAAAAAGGATAATAAGAAAATAGCATGAACAACTTTATTGTGGTCATTTTATTTTAATTTTTAAAATTAATTTTATTGGCACACTTTAGATATCCATAATGATCACATTCATCATAGGGAATCTGTGCCTGTACCTGATAGATCTTGATTCTTCTTTTTTCTCCAATCCCCTCTCCTCCCTTCACCCTCTTTCCCTCCTTATTTACAAAGGTTTTATTTCCATTTTTTCTCTCTATTCTTTTTTCCTTTCCATTACTTTCTTTCTCCCTATCCCCTTCCCTTTTTCCCCTTTCCATTTGAACATTTTCCCCTATTTCTCAGTAATCTATTATACATTTTGGTCTTTATTTACCTTTTCAGTTTCTTATACCAGAGAAAAAATACCACATTTAAACATGTGTGTCTGATTTATTTTACTTACCTGTGTGGTTTTAAGGGGCATCCATTTACCTAGAAATGTCTCAAGTTTATCCTTCTTAATGGCAGAGTAGTACTCTATTGTACTGTATTTTAAAAAACACATCTTCTTTATCATTCATCAGTTGTTGGGCATTTGGGCTGTTTCCAAGATTTAGCTAATCCAAATTGTGCTGCTGTAAACTTGGATGTGCATATATTGCTGTAGTATGATGCTTTTAATTCTTTCTTGAAGATACCAAGAAGAGGAATACCTGGGTCATATGGAACCTCTAGTTGTAGTTTTCTGAGGAATCTCCACACTGATTTCCACAGTGGTTGCCCCAGTCTACACTCCCACCAACCATGGAGAAGGGTTCCTTTATTCCCACAGCCTTGTTTGCATTTGTTATTGGTTGATTTCTTGATAATAGCCGTTCTGGAATGAGATGGAATTTCAGCATTGTTTTAATTTGCATCTCTCCAATGGCTAATGACATTGAACACTTCTTCATATATATATTTTGTTTCTATTTCTTCATCTAAAAAGTGTCTATTGATTTCTGATGCCCATTTTTGTTTTAGTTTTAGTTTTTGTTTTTGAGACAGGATCTCCTTATGTAGTGCATGCTGGCCTTGAACCCATTTAGGTAGTCCAGGCTGGCCTTGAACTCATGTTGATCCTACTGCCTCAGCCTCCCAAGTGCTGGGATTACAGGTGTGTGCCACCATGCCTGGCTTGATACCCATTTTTTGATTGGGTCTTTAAATTTAGGGGGTCTGATTTTTTTTTGAGCTCTTTATATATTCTAGATATTAGTCCTTTGTATGACAGCCCATCTTAAATATTAGATGAAACACACTTTACCAAAACTGACACTAGAAGACAGAGAAGATCTGACTAGACCTGTACCAACTTAGTAAACTTAGTTCATAACTTTAGATCTTCCCACAATGAAGATGGTTGCAGATGGTTTCACTGAGAAATTCTAAACAGTTGAAGAACTATCACCAATCTTACAGAAAGCTGTGCAGAGAACAGAAGATGAGGAATTCCTTCCCACACCACTTTGAGAACAGCAGGCCCACACTGTGGCCAAATCTGCTAGACACGTTGCAAGAGGGGAGGGTGGCCACGGAGCATCTGTCAGCTGTGGCTTCCCCATGGGCAGAACAGAGAAAAACAATGCCACCTCCTGTTGCTGCTGGAGGACTGAGCTGGGTGAGTTGGGTGGAAAAACTGCCCATGCTGCTGTGCTTGGTAACCACTGCACTTACAGGAGCCGTGGAGCTGCAAATGTGAGTTGTGTCTCAGCTTTCTAACAGCGCTGGGACTGAGGACAGAGAGCCTTGGATTTCTGAGTACCACTCAGGCTTGGGCCTCGCTGCACTTTATGAATGGAAGGATAGCAGCTTAGATAGGGACAGAGAGGTGGCCAGGGAACGAACAGCTCAGGACAGACATGGCCAGGCTGTGAGCCTGGAGTTTAACTCAGTTCCCTCTAATGTGCCAAAGCCAGCAGACCTGGGATGGGACGCTCACACCCGCTTCCTCCCAGCTATAGCCTCACTGTAACAGTTCACAGCGAGGTGTTCCTGCAAAGCCTCAGGAGCTCACTGGGGGGGCTTCTGAAAGGTGGTGGGATCATGGGTTGCTGTAGCTAAATGTGCCGTCAGGAGGCGGGACCTGGAGAGACAGCGGTCACTGGGGCGTGGCCTGGAAGGCTTCCTCTCCTCCCCGGCTCCTCCCACCTTGCGCTGCTTCTGGTCTACCACAGTGTAAGCAGCTGCCCTCTGCCAGACCCCTCTGCCTTGCTCTCCTGCGTGGAGCAGCTGACTGTGGACTTAACTGGGAGCCAGAATAAACCTCCTCCTTTGACCTGCAGGGGTTGGTATTGTGTCTCAGAGATAAGAAAGTGACCAAGACACCCCCTCACCACCTCTTGTTCCCCTTCTCTCTGCCTCCTGTCTGCTGGCAGCCCGGAGAGGCTGGTCAGCGGGCAGAAGAACAGACACAGCCCCTTCTATCAGGAGCTGCAGGAACTGAGGTAGAGTTGCAGGGTACTCAGTACGGAACACTGATAGCAGTAGGGTCCAGAAACACCCTAAATGTTTATTAAGTGAGAATGAAACCAATCTGACGAAAAACCTTATCCAGACCTTCAAGGCCCAGGCCAGGACCCTAGCTGGCTTGAGTCCTTGCTTCAGTCATGATAGAGATTAAAAGTGAAGCAGCAGTAGAATTTACAGCCAGAAGCATTCATTGGAAAGCAAGAGAAAACAGCAAGGCACTTAGCGAAGGAACTAACCAAGACTGAGCCAGCCTCTTAACAAAGGGAAGTAGAACATAGGGAGGGTCCCGCTTACTACTTGCAGGGGGAGCTCCCTGAGGGACAAATTGGCCAGTTTGCAGAAGAGCAGGCACCAGGTTTATGGGGTGTTGTGGTGGGCTGGGACCAGCTGCCGGGACCACAGTCCTGGTTTCCTAGCTTCAGGGGAACCCTCAGGGCTGGAGGGGCAGTTTGGCTCCCATGAGATGGCTGTCACTGCCTGGGCCATCTCAGTCATGTGGGCTCTGCT